TTCATCTCATAGAACGTGTGAGATGCTTTGGGGAAACACCTTGCAGCACGATTACATCCTTCTGGGAACACCCAACAACCCAACTGAAACACATGCTGATTGAAGAATGGGCACTCTTATCTAAAGAGCTGGTCGACAATCTGGTGCTGAGTATGGAGAGAGAGTGCGAAGAAACCATTGCAGTATTAGGAGTGCATATCCCATACTAAGGAACATCTGCTTGTTGTTCTTCCTCTTGTACAGACAATCATCTGTAACAATACTATGAGTTCAATAAAGCTTTTTTTTTTTGTTTGTTTGTTTGATTCCATACTGTATGCATTGTATTCATTTTTGTGCAACTATGCTCTCGCCATTGTTTAAAAACAAAGTGCTGTTTCTCATTTCTGAATTTCATGTCTCTCGGATGATTTCTCATGGAGTTATGGCAAAACAAACACCTGTTGCTTAAATTTTGCACACCAGTGCATGTCATCCGACATAGTTTATACACTAGTCCATCAGACATTAAATATATGTATAATTTGGAAGAGCCCCCTCTGTCGACTGCATATTTCCTCTTTGCAAGAGGTTTCTTCAGTGACTGCCCAAGTCGCTACAAAGAATAGCAAAGCACTTAATTACTACTACTGAGAGGCAGGGGGGACTAGTTGAATTACGAAAAGAAACTGCTTGATATAAAATAGCGTCTGGCGGAGGGAAAAAAAAAACTCAGTACATTATTTTCTAACTACCTTTGCATTTGTTTTTTGAGCTGTCCCTGTGGCCACTTCTGGTCTAAAAATAACATGGTTATTATAATTCTCACAATTCAAATTATTTGCTATTTTATTTACTACTGTGATGGTAAACGCACAGTGGACAACTTGAAATGGAGTTAAATCATAATACATATAAATTAAATAAAAAAAATTAAATCACTAAATGATAGATGCATGTCATTGCACAATTTCTGTTTTGAGTTGCAAATGTATTTCAAAATGAACTGTTTGTTGCAAGCGAGTCGCACTTAAGGGGTCGAAGTGTTTCAAGCCGCTGGTAAGGGGCCTGAGAGCCGCATGCGGCTCGCAAGCCACAGTTTGACCATGCCTGCAAATGTTGAGTTCCGTAATAAAAAAAGAAAATTTAAAGCTATTCAGTAAATAATTAATTAAAAAATCCTTGCTTTAAATTTTAGAGTTTAAAAAAGGAAAAACGATATATAATTAAATGAAAAATAAAAATTATTGATTACACCTCCAAACTGAATAAGAAATAGTCAAATACTTTGTAATAATTTAATGAAACTTTAAGAAATTAGCATAAAAATAAACCAACAGTAATTATTACAATATAAAAATATATGTTAATAGTACTGAAAATATTAACAAATTCTTAAATAAGGTACTTTTTTTGTTTTCATTTTACTTTTGGTGATACATTTGATGGCTAATTGTTCTTCTTAACCCTCGGAAATGTATATAATTCCTTTTATGTCCACAAATAAAATTGTGACAATGCATTAAATTAAAATCTTTGCAAATTATTTTGTACTTCTAAGATGTAATAGTGTATGATAAACTTGTATACTTCTTTCCTTAAGAAATCATATCTGTAGTGTTTAACCTTTTTGCGATGGCGCACCGTTGTTTAAGACGCTCATGCGTGACGGAAGAAAATCGAAGGCAGTCGCCGTACAGGACGGAGGTTTTGCATTGCTAAGCCTAATTTTATAACAAAAATCAGAAAAACAAAAGTTTCGCTTCTAGCATCGTAATTTTTGGTATCATTTTAGATTATTACTTGAGCTCTTATATATGTTAAAATTAGCCCTTAAAACATTGTTTTCTTTATTTTACATGAAAATATACTTAAAAAATTGCTTATCTTCTAAAATAATCCATCAATAAAATTTAAAATTAATAAAAAGAACACAATAAAGACTATTTACAGTAAGAAATAACAAAATTTAAAATGAAAACGAGTGTGGTAAATCTCTAAGCACAGAGAAGTATCACTTTGTAACTCTTAGAAAAAGTATCACTTTTTAACTCTTTAGAAAATGAATCAGTACTCTCATTTTGCATTAGTAAATGGTTCACTAACCATACTAGGGTATTCTTCCTCTGATAAATAGCGCCTTCCCGCCATAATAGACTGGAGGTGAGGCTTTCCTAAATAAAAAAAGAAGGAATGGAAATATATCTGAAGGCAATGCAAAACATAAAAAAACTCCGCACAGTAACCCTAAAAGACCGTACATAGTAGAGGGAAAAATAGAATAAAAAAAAGGAACTGGATATAAATCAGATACAAGAATGTTTTCATTAGCATGCAGCGATTAAAGAGCCCACCTCTGTTTATGCTTTCTCTCCACCCCCCCCTCGAACAGCTGATGATTGAAATACCAAAGTCAAGCAGAATATATGAAACTCAAGGACAGGAACCTAAACTGTGTTCATTTCAAAAGTAATGGACACAGGATGCCATCTAGTGGCCTTCAGAAAAACGTTCCACCTTAAAATGCGTGTACGCATCAACAGTTTTCTGAATGCGATCTTTACTGATGCGTGGATGGGACGCCGGGCTGTAAGAGACGTTCTTAGGAAATGCGTATAAGGGACGCCCGTCTTGAAAGGGTTAAAGGCTTCTTTATTCATTAAGTGTGTAATGTAAATATTTTCCTAATTATATTATGCGAATGTTTGAGTTTTTAATGCTAGTTTCTTGTATTTTATAATTTAGTTCCATAAAAATTGATTTAATTTTTCATTACAATCTCTGTTATTTTTAGCATTTTTTAAGTGAAATGTGTAATGAAGAACACTTGAGGTGTTTGCAGTATTAGGCCGTGATCACATAATTGTGAGCTTAGTAACATTTCAGTAATTTTATCTCCACAATGTATTGCATTTGCATAATAAGTTGAAAGTTTTTAATAAAACTTATCCCCCCAAAAAAGGTGCTCACCATAATATGACTACACAACTGTGCCTATTGAAATAAATGTAATAACAAATTTCTTAAGCAGAAAGTGAACTTATTCTTCAGCCTTTAATTTTAAAACAAAACATAGATTAAGAACAATCTTGTGGAATACTTTTAATGCCTAATGGAAGGCATCTGAGATACTAAGCATTCAAGCAGACAATTTTATTTAAAACCTTTAGCATTACCTTAAACCAGATAATGACCATAATCTTTAAAATCAAGAGAGGCAGCGAAAATGTGGACATTATTTAGAAATTAACTTGCACAGATAGTTAAAATGAAGTTAAAAATGAGATAACAGCATGGTGAACATACCAGAACAGTTTTTAAACACAAATAGAATAAAAGTGCAGAAACTTTCACAGATGACCTGTCTGCTTCATCAGCAGTAGCTGGAATGCACCTTTAGCACTTTCATTGTCTTTTATTGGTTTCCATAGGGTTGCTGTATTCTGGATGGCTGTCCAGATGTATGGAAGGTTGAAAGGAAGGTCTCTGTTGCAACATGTTTCAAGTCTAACAACAGATGGGTCATTCACAGAAGTTCCTGTACTTTTACTTTTATTCTATTTGTGCTTAAATGTGGTTCTGGCAGGGTGACCTGCAGTTTTTATCATTTAGACATGCATTAGTTGCCTACCTGACTGATAAATTCAGATGACACTTCTTTTTTCTCCTGCTTTTTGGTCTCCTTCGTGTTCCTTTCCTCCATTTGCTCCATCTAACATAAGCCCCATTCACATGCAAAGCTCTTTCACACAGTCACCTTTTGTATTAGGGAGAAACGAGGATATGAAGCAATTTCGCTGTCAGGACCGGTTCAGATGCAAATCGTCTTCCATCCCTTAACCCATAAGCCACTGCGAGCAATGAATGATGTCACAAACACGAATCAGATTGGCGGATTTCTAACATATACTTGCATCTTTTTTGACATTGTTTACTATTGCTATAAAATGCCATCGGAGTTTTTTATCTCTTTAATTAGTTAAAATAAACCTAAATTAATTTTAAATGTAATTTATATACGAGACCAAATGTTTAAAAGAAGAAAAGAAACCACATATGCTACTGAGCGGTTTTAAATAAAATGTTTTGTGGCTGCTAAAATTTCAAACTTTGCTTTTTGAAAAAATGAATAAAACAACAATTATTAAATATTAATTATAAATGTTTTAATATTTATAATAAACGTTTTAGAAAATATATTATAAATCATTCATCTGTTAAAATTGTTTTGAACATGTTTTACAAAGATTTTAAATAAAAGCTTGTAATTTATGTTTATATTAACCAATTGAATAGTACTAGGTTTTATTTTATATATATGTAATCAAATTCAGTAATAAAATTTTTAAGAAGTTTGAAATGATTTAATGACTACATAGACAGCTTATATTCTTTAAACTGCATTTTCGCAGTCTGGCTTACATAAAGATCTAAAGATATTCCACCAAAATAAGAAGATATAAAAATATTCTCATAATTTCACTGAAATGACAGCCCATTTTGTTTAAATTGGAGTAGTCAAGATACTGATTCAATGAAAGGAAGGACATCTTACAGTTGCCATACAAATTACTGTTTTGTGCTTTATCACGATGTCATTCTCGTACCATAAGTAATGTCATTCTCATGATATAAGTAAGAATTTTGGACATAAATAAAAAAAAAAAAAAATGTTGAGTGCTGTCTATATAAATTCAGCATGATTGAATTTGCAGTATCGTTTTTATGCAAAGTGTATTCCCACCCCCCTAATTTGTGATGATAAAGAGCAACCATCATTTAGAGACAGAGCAAAACGTGAGAGTGGCTGTGTGTGGAGAGATTTATTTGTTGACTTGTTCTCTTTAATTTGTCATTTTTTTATTTTTCAGGAGCATTTAGGTGTGTGAAAATCACATGGTTTTATTGTAATTAAGAAAGTAAATGATAAAAAGTACTGAGCGTGTAATTTTTTTATCTATTCAACAAAGCTGTTTAGTTGCAAATATTATTGCATATAAATACTTTTTCTTTTTATTTAGGCCTAGAGCTTCATCACCTTGTGCCAGTGTTACAAAATATGAAATCGAAAAAGATATTGACATTCTGGAAGCTAAAGAAAATAAACTTGATGAATTGATTTATCACATGAATTTACAACTGAAGTCTTCAATAGAAAAAGATGGAGAATATCCTTTTTGCAAAAATTTTTACAGTGTTATCACTATTTATATGAGATGCATTTTTAAATGTAATTTTAGCTATGAACATGCATAAACCTTCTGTAATATGCTGTTATGAGGGTACTCTCCCCCCCTTCCCGTAACACCAATAGTTAATTTTTGTATTTTTACTCTATTTTTGTATACTTTTAATGTGTATCTACAAAAATTCATGTTTGAATGTAGTTATTTAAGTTTGGAGTCAAAAAATTTTGAAATTTTCTGCAGACGTTTAAAGTGTTAAAACTAAAGTTGACTTTTTAGGCACTTGAATGCCGCTCAGTTAAACATACTTATTAAACTATGTGAAAAAAGCTTTTGAAAGTGATTTAAATTCAATAGTATTATTTTATCAAAAAGTTTAACAAATATAATATTACTTCATGTACAAACTCTATCATCCTAGAATGTGGTTTTTATTTGATGCGTACTGGAAAAAGATTTTGCATGTCAGCATTTATTATAAATCATAAATGTTATTAGCTAATGTAAATGCAAGGGGTTTTTAAGTTAAAAGAGAGAAAGAAAATATGAAAACTTGCGTTCGATAACCTCAAATTATGTAAGAGACTATAATACAATAAGCTATTTTTAATGAATTAAAGTAACTATTTCTGTTTGCTTATTCTTCTGAATGTTTGCACTATAAAAAGTGTAACTCTTATTTACTATTATTTCATTTTTTTAACAATTAAAATTGTAATAATTTTTCATTGTATGTTCTATTTCATTTTTCCTTTTTCCCTCCTTTCCTTTTCTTAATTCGAAACAACACGCTTGCTAATCTCATATAGCTATAGAATTTACACATAAGGTATACAGTTTTTGAAATATATACCATAGATTTTTTTGGAAATTTGAATAATTTTTATTTTTAAAAAATGCAAAAAGGTATACAATGTTCAAATTGAATAACTATTAATTGATTAATATAAGGAGATTTCTATCTGAATTTCTTATCAATCGCTTATTTCCATGTGGGCATATAATTCCATAAGTGTATATTTCTAAGTGAGCATTTTTCCATGTGACTTTTTTTTCTATGCAGGCATATTTCCGTTTTGCTTTTTTTCCTGTTAGCATTTATACCTGGGGGCATTATTCTCTGAGTGTTTTTCCTGTGTGCTTTTTTCCTTGAAATTCTCTATTACTTTGATGCGTTTTCGTTCAAGAAACTAAACTGTCAATCTTGCTGTGCAAGAAGATGCATTGACATGGTGGAGCATTAGTCCTCTAACATTCACTTCTTAAAGAATTTCTGGAAGACGGTGGTGTTCCAGTTAGCTGTCTTCTCTCCTTCCAGCTTGATGTCTTCGACCAGTCATGTACTTCTGAAGAAAATGGCATGCTTTATGTTTTTTATTGCTCCAAATGATATGTATGTTTTTCATCACCAGTTACAATTTTATAAATAATATGGTGGCCACCTTATTTAAGTAATTAAAGATTTTTTAGTGTTTCTGAAAAATTCCTCGTTTTGGTGCTCAGTTAAATTATGGAGAACCCAATGGCAAACTAGTTTTTTCATATGCAATTCTTCATGAATAATTTTATGTATGGCGGCGGATCCAATGCTGTGTTTCTTCTGTATCATTTGGTAGGTGCAGCGATTACCATTGATTAACATTTTCCACGTGGCAAACGCATTATCCGGGAATACTGCTGACAGTGACCGCCCTGTGTGTTCTTCATCCTGAAGAGAGTTGTGACCTCTGTGAAATTCTGTAAACCATCTGAGTACAATAGCGTGAGATGGATCTTCATTTTCAAATGCTAGTTGTAGATGTTCATCTTGATTTAATCCCACTTTAAGATCATAGTGTGATAATGTTCTTACATCAACTCCATTTTTTCGTCTGCCTAAAATTTATTCTATGCATTTGGCCTATAAAAAATCATCTGCTAGGCTAAAAATAGTTCATATTTTAAAATCTAACTTAATTCTTTTCTGCTGCTTTTTGTCTACACGTACATAAAAAATTCCAGTGACCTTCATGTAACAGGAAACAATTTTTATAATTTATGTTCATTATGCAATATCTCCAAATTAATTTGATGTACATTCTCTTAAACACATTCACGAACTTATTTTCGTGAACTTATTTTATTTTCGAACTTATTTTATTATTCACGAACTTATTTTATGTTTAAATTTATTTCGATTATCTGTTAGGACTCTATCATTTGTCAGGATACTAATGATATATCTGCCTTTAACCACCAGTCCTTGTGATCTCAATGCCATGTTAATTTAGTGATTATTTGCTTTGAAACTGTCAGAAGTTAATGAATGAGCTGAGAAACCAGCCCTTAGAATGCCTTTCTTATATTTCTTACAGCATCTTTTGATTTCATATGGTTGATAATATATAGGGTGTCCCTAAAACCTTCATTCCATCTGCTCATAAAATAAATTTACTGAAATTTGAACAGCTGTACACCTAAGCATAAAGAGAACTTCAGATTTTACTTTAAATCTCAAAAATGGGAACCTCCAGTGATGTGAAAAATGTCAAACTTATATTATTCCTACCATCATACATTATCTAACATTTCAAACGTGAAATTTGAATAAATTCTTATGATGCATTCATGCATTGTTTACAGAGAGAGAGCTTCAGCACAGACCCACCAAAATTTGGCAAAATTCTCACCGGCAAAAGTGAATACTTTCAATAGCTTTAAAGTGTCTAAAATTAACGCTATGGTGCGCCACATGCACCTCATGTCCCAAATTAAAGTTATAAACACATTTCTGCTATAACTCAAAAAAGTAGCTACTGCTGATCTTTTGAAAACTGATAATATAATCAAGACACAATAACACACCGAACAAATACTAATTCAAAATGCATTTGCGCTTTTGCAGCTGACAATGGTGGTTCGGTAAAACCATCGAAACTAGTCCTGTGAAAATTTTAAAATATAATGCTGATTTTTGTTGTTTGACTTCTGAATTAACTGATAATATGTTTAATTTGGGGAGTATTAAATGTAGTATAAGCATTTGGTGGTTATAGACGGTTAAAATGTGTTTAAGAGAATGTAAAAGTGATTGGTTTCCATGTCTGTGAAATTCGCCTCTACAATTGTGTTCCTTGCAAGAAAATACCCAAGACTGATGATTTCAGTCAAATTAGTTCTTGGAATTGTTTACACAATGGGCTGATATGAAAAGCAATCAGTAGGCTTTAGCTGGCCACTTTCAGATGGAGGCCATCAATGATCTTTAATGTTGATATCCTGATTATGGCACCTATCCCAAACTACAAGGATTATCAACAGGGGTCCAGGCCAATACCATGCAAGAGTTAAACACTTGTTGATGATTGATATGTGGCATTAAATAATGATGCAATTTAAGTATGATAGCTAGAAAGTACTTTCCAGACCATCTTGCTGTCATTAATTCCCTGGGAAGCTGTGGAGAGATTGTGGAAGACAGTGCATCTTTTGAAACTCCAAGCACACCATTCTTGGGTAAACAAGATTCAAGTCTTGTTCGATATGCATAGGGATTTTTGATGAACCTTCAGCTGGTCACAGCCTAGGGTCCACTATCAATCCTTGAACAAAAGGCAAGTCTGTTAGTCTGGTGGAAGTGGAATCGTTGTATGGTGAGACAGATGCAGAAAATGTATACTTATTCTCCGTATGATGTGCTAACAGAGTTATTAGGCATAAACTGTATACTGCATGTTTGATATGCTCTATGGTGAGACATCGTGTTACACAGCAGCGCACCATTCCATGTCTTTGTAATTGCACACTGTTTTAGGGATGATGTTCCTAAACTTTATATGAAGCTTTACCAGGAGGCTGTTTTAGAGGATTTTACTTTTTTAAATAATAATGTGAGTCCATACAAAGCTGAACTGTGTGAGAATTTTCTGCAGAAAATGCATACTCATTCACCATATGATGTGTTAACAGAGTTGTTAGGCATAAACTGTATACTGAATGTATGATATGCTTTAGGAAGGACCATTACTCAACATCAGCTTTTTCCCAGGACACTCCAGGCATTAAAACTCTTGCTTTTAAAAGCTTTGATTAACAACTCATTTACTGCATGGGGACCTGTATTAAGAGAGATAAATCTATGCGCAATGGCCACTCTCTTTGTTAGCCAGACCATTCTAGAAATATGAGGTGTAATTTTTTCCCCGTACTTTTGGTTTCATTTGTGTACTGCAAAACTTTTATCTTTTGCGTACAGGTAATCCTCTTTTAACATAGATAGGTTCCTGGAAAATGCCATATTGTGTGAAACCATTGTATAAGATCTAGAGCCAATACAAAAAGAAGGGTTATATTCCTAAAACTTATTAAAAACAACAATTCGACATAAGCAACTTAATTTTTATTAAAAATATAAATGCATGTACAAAAAATATTAATTTAATCAGGGTTGCCATGCTACCTGGAAAGCCGGGAAACGTTAGGCAATTCAAAAATTGACCAAAAAGAGTAAAGGAATTTCATAAGGCCATCCCAAAAAAGCGATTAGAAGCGATCACTTTCTTCGCGAATCATGTATCGCGTGAGCATCATTCGGACAGCAGGGGTAGAGCCAGTTTTTGCAGGGCCAGTCAGATTGTCTTTTAGAAAGGTAAAGTTTTCAGTAAACTCGAGAATCCAGAGATTTGCATGTGCAGTGCATGTTGAACAACAGTAAATTCCTCCCATTCTCATATAAAACAAAATCTTTGTACCTTTTCTTCTTTTTTAAATGCCTTATTTGTCATTATGCAGTAAAATTAATAATAATAATAATTAGTCATCCAGGCTAACCATTTAATATATCTATATTCGTCAAAATACTACTGTCGATTTTTTTGTTATGCAATTTTTAATCCTTAAGTAAGCTTTATTTTAATGTTATTCGTATCATTTAATTCTTTGCGGCACACCGTGCCACAAAGGGTTAATGTTTTCTTTCTGTATGCACAGAAAAATTGAATGAAAAAGGATTTAGAGGTTACTATAGGTTACTCTGAACCTTCTTTATTTATAGCAGATAGCAGGTCAACACAAACCAGTCCATATATTTTAGCCATGTTTAGTTTTTTTAAGACCCTCATTTTTCAAAGAAAACTTCCAGATTTTTTTAGGATATAAAAGCAATTGTTTGACAAGAAATTTCTATGTTATTTTTTTTTGGCTGTATGCTAGTCTCCTTATTCTATATTACTTTTAAATTTTTATCTTGAAATCATGCTTAAATTCAAATGACGAACCCGAGGTGTGCCCAGACCGGGCACACGAAGACATTCGGACAACTGAGAGACTATTCTTTGTTTCTTCGCATTTCATCGGTCAGTTCATTGACAACAGAAAGGTCCACATCTGTGTTTCATTTCCTGTTTTTCTCTCTCTCCCTTTCCCCCTTTTTTTTCAGAGGACTAACTAGCTAATTAACTAACAAATTGTTGGGTTGTTTTTCTGAAGGTCAAGCGTAATTTTATGAGTTAGCTGTTTGGTTTTTCACTAGAGCAGTTCTCTCTTTCTCTTTCGTTCAAAGTTTCGCTAGCGCTACGTGTAGTAGTTTTGAGGTGTAGATGTTTATTTAATTTTATTAACAGTTTATAATTTCTATTAGTAGATATAATATTAGTTTATTTTTTTGAATTTTTAATTATTTTCCAAACGAATCGGAGAGGGGTGCTACACGAATTTCTTCAGATAGTGAATCTGATACAGATTCTGGTACATGTGCAAAACATACAATATTGCGTTGTGCTTTTTCAAAGGTTGTGCTTTTTCTTCGAAAAGTACCACCATGAAAAAAATAGACTAAAATGTAAATATGAAATGTAAATAATGTAAAGATCATAAACCAAGTTACGTTTTTGTTTCCCATTCATATGCATGTAATCAACCAAAAAGGAGCCTTTTAGGGGGTGTAGAGTAGCAGGTCTCCCTGTGGCGCACCCTTAATAATGCTAAATCTGTTATGGTATTCAAAATCTAGTGTTTTTTAATTGTAGGCAAAATCTCTTACTCTTTTACGCGTTTCCCAGCAATGCTCGTTTCAGCACACTTTTCGAAGCTCTATTCGGTCAGTGTGCCCGCTTCGGGCACACCCACAGAATTAAAACAATAAGTGCTATCTTCACAAAATTTTATTTGTGTACTCCTCTAGGCCTAATTAGACTGCCTACCTTTTTTTTCAATCGAAATTCCAACTTTAAAAGGTAGCGTGCCGGAAAGGGTTAATGTGTCTTCTTCCTTCTAAATTTATTTATTAGTTAATAATACAGTAGAAGTCGAGAAATCCACAAAGCTTGGGACCAGAGGTTGTGCGGATTTCAGGAGAGGAAAGTTAAATCATAGTATTCAGACTAAAAGTGCAAAATAAATAAAGGCATATTAGATATATTTAATTAAAATATTATATACATTATTGTAATAATTTATTATATGCATTAAATTATTATTGCATATATAAATTGATTATATTATTCATTGTATTATGTACACAGCATTGAGGTTTGCCAATTTCGTCTTGTGCAAAGATTTTGGTTTCGGATTCCTGTGTTAGAATCACTCTTGCTGTAAAATTTCAACAGCTTTTCTTTATTTTTCTGTATATCATACACAATCATGTCACAATTCCATACGATTTTGCTCTAAACCGAGGAATAGCAGCTGCCTCCATCTTTTGCAGAATGTTCACTTTTTCACGTTACCGTCAATGTAACAGTTTACATTTTTCAACATTTCAAGCAGTAAAATCATAAGTGTGTTTTTTTATCTGTCGTATTAAAAAGGGCTGAAATTAAAAATATTCTTAATTCTTCTTAATATCCACAAAATATCTGGATAAAAAAAATCAGCACTACATAATCTCGAGAAATAACAAAGCTCAGAAAATACAACGTGAATTGTGAACTTGAAAGAAGAGTTGAGTGAATCGTCTGCTTTTTAACCTCGATGCAGATTACGGGGGGGGGGGGGACTTTTATCATGATGTCAATAATTTGGTATTTCCATTATGGCTCATTATTATTGGGTAATTATGATGTCATTATTCGGTGAGTATTTTTTCCTCGATATTTCGTAATCAGTGTTGTGGTTTCCGGAACCTATAAACTGAATGTTTATATTTTGAGAGGCAACACGGATTTCAGGTCGGCGGATTTTCGGTATTTGACTATACTTTCAAATTTCAGGCATTTTATCTAAGTATTGTTCTAATTTGAACCTATCCACTTCATTGAATATTTGCTGTAGATTTGCATTACAGTGAATTTCTATTAATTCCATCTGTAAATAGGCTGATATTTTCTCAGCATTGGTTGGAAAGGGGCAGAAAGCAAGAGAACTCGTCTGATATTGCAGAACATTTTTTTTTCAATCTTCAAATGCTGAAGCACGCATTTTATGTGAAATAGGTTCCTTTTTTGTTATTTTTTTACAACCTCAGTTTTTTGTTTCTCACAGTGAACTGAGGTATGCAGAAAAATGTCTCGTAGATGTATATTTTACATGGCTGTTTTAAGGTAAAAGCATGGCATAAGAAGAAATCAAAGTAAGAATAATTGCTAGGTTACTACTTGGTTTGTTGTACATTTCAATAATTATTTTGTTTCCAGCTGTGATGATGGAATTCATAATGGTATTAATGTATTTAATGAATATGAATGAGAAATTAATGTATGCATAAAAAATGTATCTGGTTGTAACAAATATTTTCCTTCAAAAATACATTCTTAATAAAGTTAGAAAAAAATGAAAGCAGTACCTAAGAACTGGTAATAATCACCATCTATCTAAACCTATGACTTTCTGCCAACGATTTTGGTAGTTTTTTCAAAGCCTTCGGCCCAGAAACTTGGCGACCGCAACTCCAAAAAACAGATCAACCTCATTTTGGACATTCTGTTCAGGATGGAAGATAGCATCAGCAAGATGTAGGTGCAGGTGTGGAAAAAGGTAGAAGTCCAAAGGAGCAATGCCGGGGCTATATGGCAGGTGTGGCAAAAGATCCCATTTGGATCTGTGCAGAGTGCAGGCCAGTGAATGCAAACACGTGTGGTCTTGCATTATTTTAATGGAACATTACCTTTTTCTGCCAGAACTCAGGTCGACATTTTTCCTTGATGGCAGCGTGAGCATGGACTAGCATCTCGCTGTACACCTTGCTGTCGAGGGTTTTACCATTTTCCAGATACTCTTTGTGGATGATATCAGGGCAATCCCACCAGATACTAAGCATGACTTTTTTGTTAGTCAAATTGCACTTTGCAAACTTTTGTTGAAGTAAATCCACTTTTTGCATTGATATTCAATTAGATTAAGGCAAGCCCGAATGTGGCTGTCCTTATCTGAATGAGTCAGCTTATGGAGCACCCAGCTATTGAACTTGTACGTCAAATTTATGTGACGCATAGTGCAACTAGTGGACATGGCAACTAACATCTAACTCCTTAGCAAGCTCTCGAGTAGTTGCATACTGGTTTTCTTCCTCAAGGTCTCACAGGCGGGCCTCATTAGCATCATTAGGCTAGTCAGAGTGCTCTGCTTCTTGAATGTCATAGTCCTTGTTTTTGAACTTTCGGTACCAAATCTTCACAGCATCGTAAAAGACAGCATTAGTACCTTAAACGATGCACATCATTTCATGACATTCTGTAACTGACTTTTTGCAACAGAGCAAAGTAAATCATGGTTCTAAGCTGTAGTGGAGTAGTTCCATTGTAGACACCTTGTACTTAATGTTAACAATATTTTTTTACAACTTTCACTACACAGTAAAGCAAGACTCTTTCTTTCAAATGCCAAAGATCATTTGACAAAATATGTTTAAACATGGTAATGCGAATTGTTTGCATAGATAATATTTGGCTGTGGTGGGGAAACTTTCATTAAACCCCGATAGCAAGTCTTCTGTCAGAATATTTCCAAGATGCATAAATATCAGCTGTGTTTTTTTTTCATGATTCCATGTATTTAAATGGAATTTCAGGGAATATTTTATCTTTGCTCTTTAACATGGACTAAGCATATGTATTTGGTCTTTGTGAATCGCATATATCTTTATCCCATTATGAGCTAAAGCTGTGAAGAATTGCTGGTTTGCATTTGGCTGTGCTAGCAGCTAAACTGACTGTCTGCATGAAAAAATATTTTTTTCCCATTTATAAAATAAACAATAATACCTTTCTAGGTAATTTGATCTCAACTGCTTCATAATTTCTAAGTAATAAGCCAAAAATTTAGATCCGTAGGTTCTTCTCTTAGACAAGATACTACACTTAATTAATTCTGAGTGACTAGAGAAGCTTTTACATAAATATGCAGTAACTGCATGGCCTGCATCCCTAATTATAAGGTGGTACAGAACTGATTAGAAAAATTGAAAAATCTCTTAGCAAATTTTGTGCTGTTAAGCAGCTGTAATAGTGTATTTCTAGTACAATATTAGAGTTATAATATTTTATCTTTTTAGTTTGTGTCACAAGGTTTTAATTTATTTTACTAAATTATGTCAGGCAATAGTAGTCTGAGAAAACAAGAGCTGTTAATATATGTAATGATTTTCTGTAATATGAAGCATGATTATCATTTTACAGTGCAAATTATAAGTACAACATACTTCGTATGTAATACCAATTTATTATTATGTATAAGCATAATGATAAATTTATGTAATTAAAATTACTGATCTGATCATAATTGCTGATCTTCATGTGAAGTGAATCATTGTTATTGAATGGAATGATTTTACTTTAAAAATGTAGTTATGGAAGCAGTTTTGTGACAAAATTTAATTGTATTGTTTGATACTGTTTCATTAAACTGTATATCTTTGTCATATATGTGAATGCATAGCTTAAAATTTATTTTTCTTTCAGCTTTATTTCTCTGAATTGTTACATTATTACTAAAAATTTAAATCATCATAGTCAATTGTAAATTAGAGAATTTTTACCTTAATTGTGTCTTTTACGTATCATTATTTGACCAGTGATGATCTGAAAGGCATCGAAGAGTTTTCTGAAAAGATGTTAATTGCGGTTAAAACTCCTGCAGCTGTTCAGATTTTAGGAAAAAGTGTATGTAAAAATGACAGTCTTTTTATTTTCTTTATTAGTATCATCTGTTTCTGGTTTTTAGATGATTTTTGAAAAAGTGTTGCATATTTGTATAATAGAAATTTGGACACAACATGGAATTTTTGATAATTAATATGTACTCAAAACTGTTTCAGTGCTCATGTACGTATTGACTGTCATTAACTACTTCCATCTACCAGAGGATGCATAGCTCTTTCCTTGTAACTAAAACTCGCAGTTTACCTAAAAAGTTGCAGTTAAGTGATAGAACCCTTTGTCATATTACAGAAGACTTTTCTTGCTTGTTTTCCTGGCATAAATATTTTCAAGTTACGTTTGCTGAGTACCCTAACTTAATGAAATTATAAAAGCAAATACATGTCAAATACTTTTCATAGCTGAGATTTTTAAAGAAATTAATATCTGTCTGGTTACACACAGCATGCACCCCAAAATATTTATAGTTACAAGCATAGAAATTCTTTATTAGTTATTGAAACTTTTAAGTGTGACCAACTTTCCTCAGGGCAGCCTAAAGAGGCTATCACTTCTAGGGACGCACGTGCTTACCCGGGACAATTCCGAGAAACGAGATTCTAGTAGCACTGCTTTAAGCGGGAGGCTTCCGAGAAATGTTTCGTCTGGCTGGGAGGAACATGTCCCGGATACGAGCAATATATATTAACAACTAATAAATTTATATTAACAACTTCTAAACCATCGCATCTCTCTATCTATATGTAAATATGACTTATTAGATGTGTATATATATGTATGTATGAATACAAAAATTAACACTGCCAAGAAGTTATTTGAAGTTACTTTTAATTCAGATAACGATTATGTAATTGGCAGCAACTATAGTCATCAGATCTTTGCAAATTCTTATGGGTATGTAATAATCAGTTGAAAAATAATTGATGAGTATTTGAGTACTAAAGAATGTACACATTTTGTTATTGGGTTAATTAATAATTATATCATGTATGATCTACATAATAAAAACATGACTAATAAATAATAAGAAATGTAACAGCTATGCATTTATAACATTTCATTACTTAAAACAGTGCACAACTGATTATCACCTTCATCTCTGTTTACATAATGAATTGCACTTTCCAATTAAGTGCACGGGCCTACTAGTGGCCGAAGTGTTGTTGAACACTGGTAGTTCTGTCTCAGGTTAGAATGCCGCGAACAGGCTGGCTACATGACGTTTCCTTGGTTTGCCCCATTTGTAACTGGTATACGAGCCAGTTTTTAAAAATCTTCTACAAAGGGATCCCTCCTGTTAGGCAGATATCCCTCGAGGCTTTGTCGTAATCGCATAAAACAAACTCATGATGTGCACCACCTAATTTCTAGAGTTGGTATAATTAATGTGTTTTAGGTGTATTACCGAGTGTTCTATGGGAATGTAAACAACTTGCACATGTTTGATTGCTCATGTATTCATATGCTTTATTTGATCTTCATTTTGCTTAATAGTATCTGCTGGCTGTGAGGATGTAAATATCAGCCATATAGACTTTTGTCATAAAAGATATTTTTTTGGGTTTGTTTGTTTGTTTAAATGGACAGAACAGTAATTATGAGCCATAAAGTTAGTCAAGGTCAGAACATGGTCACCAAATCGCAAATTTTCCAGTGAGCCATCAAATTTTCATTGCAATGCAGACAACACAAAATACACATAAATAATGTCTGATAAATAGACTTATCCAGCACACGTTTTAAACTATTTTTAGTGTATACAGAATTTGGCTATTACTGATGTAATTGATTGCTATAACCAGAAGTGTGTTTATCTATTACTTGAAGTGCCAGAGTGGAGATCAAAGTGATTAACTTGATAGCAATCACCTTTCTATAATCTTCCATTACTAACAATAAAGTTTAAAACAAAAAGCGTATGAGCGATACAAAACACGAAGAAGTGAATGTCACTTAAAAGGAAACGTCACTTTCGCCAATCTGAGCGATAACTGATTCTTGTTTGGCTTTCAGCCTGTTTACCAAGTGAAGATGGTAACCCTATTTTGCCAAAGTGCGTTTCTCAGAACTGTTGCTGCAAACGTTTTGTTCCGGCAACAAATATCGTATGTGATAAGGGTTTAATATAAAGCTTGTAATGTTTACTGGAACTTCTGTGATGTATTAAATTTAAATCCACTGTTCTATTCACAACAATACCTCTTCTATCTAGCTTTCTTTTTCCTTTTTTTTAGACCTGCTTTGTTCCCCCCGTCAAAAAAAATATTTTTTATTTTATTTTATTGTTTATGCTTATTAATTTATTACTGTAATGAAATTTAAAGAATCATTCACACAATATTTACTTTATAGTCTATTCTATGTGTTATTCTTTCAACTGATTTATTGCTCAGTTGTATCAGAGATGTGTATTTCTTGAGCTACCTAAGTAGCTTCTACCTCATAATGCATAGATGTAAAAAAATTTCTAAACCAGTAGTTCATAAACTTATTGATCATATTTGTTTCTCCCCATACGCCAGAATGTCCTTGCACCTCTTTCAAAAATTTTCTTTTATTTAAGTGGTGCATTTCAAATACACTGATGTCCATAAATTAAGGATAATTCGGAGTCACGCGGAAATCGAACTCTAAAATAAATATATCACCTTTAAAATCACTACACACATCTTCAAGAATCATATGCAAATGTCAGGAAGTAACCAGATGACACCGATGGTACATCACAATGACAAGAGTGTAAGAGAGTGATATATACGGAATACAGGCAAAGAAGTAAAATTGTTCGCAGGCACTTTGTAAGCATTTCAGTGCATTAACCAAATAGTTATGACACAAAGGACGTATTTGGATGAATTTTTATGTGGTAGAATTATCGGCCATCTGGAATGTGGGCGTACCGAACTGGAAGTATCAGACCAACTTGGAATTGCCCAGAGTGTCATTTCCAGGCTTTGGCAACGATTCCAAGATGATGGTAATGTGAGTAGACGTTACAGCACAGGTCGCCCCACGGATACAACGCAGAATGAGGACCGGTATTTTGCAGTTACTGCCAAAAGAAACAGGCGGAGCACAGCCTCAGACCTGTCTCGTCAGCTCTCTTCAGCCACTGGTACGACAATTTAAAGGCAGACCGTGTACAGACGCTTAGGGCAGATTGGTCTATATGCTCGTAGACCTGTCAGATACGTTCCACTTACTGCAACTCACTGTCGCCTGCGGTTAGCCTGGAGTAGAGAGCATGCATTGTGGAACACCGCAACAGTGGGCTTGTGTGATGTTTTCCGACGAGTCCAGGTTTAGCTTGCAGTCTGATTCTCGCCGGACTTTCATATGGAGAGCTCCAGGTACCCGTTACCACCAAGAAAACACCATTGAACGACACCGTTACGGTGGTGCAGGAGTGCTCGTTTGGCGGTGGAATTATTCTGGGTTCCAGAACTGACCTTGCATGTTCAAATTGGAACCCATGACAAGCCAAATTTATCGAGACGTCATTCTGGAACAACATGTACGTTTGTTTCGGGGCGCCATGGGCGCACAATTTGTGTTTGTGGATGGCAACGCCCGTCCTCACCGTGCAAACATCGTAAGCGAATGCCTTCAATCGGAGGATATCACCCGTATGGACTGGCCAGCATTCTCATCGGACTTGAATCCAGTAGAGCACGTGTGGGATATGCTAGGCCGATGAGTTGCAGCCCTTCAACCTCCTCCTACATGTCTACCGGAACTTCGGAGAGCATTGCTTTTTGAGTGGTGTAATATCCCCCAAGATCAGATCGATAATTTGATACTCAGCATGCCTAGGCATTGTACAGACTGTATTGCATTGTCTGGGAGACATACAATGTATTAACAATCATACCAACCATGTAATATTGGTTTTTGGTAAATAGGGTTTTTTTTTGTAATTTGCTCCAGGGAGAAATTGTTAAATTAATGAACTCCAGACAGCTTTGATAGATAACAGTAGCATATTTTGCACTGAATAATGTGTCTTTTGTTTATCTGAATTTTGTAAGTAGGAAGGTAAGTATAATAAATGAGTTTTTTTAATTGATTAGTACATGTTTTTTTTCCCCCGTTTTGGAAATGTGTACATAATAAATGGTTGATTTTATTAACTAGGGATTTTAATATGTGACAAGTACTGTTTTTTTTTTTAATAAATGTTAAGAGACTGTCAAATATATTATGTGGTTATTTCAAATGTGCATGTATATTGATGTATGTATATGTTACGGTGAAACACTGAAATCTGGAGAATGTCGACTTTCACCGGTGAATGTCAACATTCACATAGTCGCTTGGTGTATGTCCGAAATATTTTCCAAATACTCTTATTTCTGACTTACACCAGTAAATGTCGAGATTCACCATAAACTAATGGTGAATGTTGAACATATAAGAATATTGTATTTTCTTCTCCATAATTGAGTCGCAAAAAATGCACCTGATACTTAAAATAGGAACTTAAGAATATAAGAACTTAAAACGCACAGTACATTCAAAATGAGAAAGGAAAATAATAGAAGTTAGAAACTTACTTAATTATGCAGTATGTTCTAAATGAGAAAATAAAATAATAGTAATAAAAAACTTACTAAATTATGTGATTCAAATCTTATTTATTGCAAAAACTTAAACTATTATGACACTTTGAATTGCACAAGACCTCTCTTTTCGACCTACACCAGAGCATATCTGTGATTGTCGACATACACCGGTGATGGTCCGAATATACAAGAATGAAATGCAATATTTCATCTTTCACCGACGTATTTGGTGAATGTTGACATTCTCCAATTTTGGTCTTTCACAGTAACATATATACGTGTATACTTTTTTCAAAACCAGGAAAAGAATTTAGTAGTTAAAAGTACAGATGGAGACTTGGAAGCTTACCTGTTGCAAGATCAATCATTTATAAACATACTGCACTCAGAAGCTGAATTCAAAGAAAATTCTTACTCTGTTAAGATTGAAAACCATAGTCTTTCAAGTTCAGAGAAAACATCATTGACTCAAGACGAAGCATGCTCATGTATGTGTTTTAGTAATTTCAACATTAAAACAATTATTATTGTATTAAAAATTAATTTTATTTATTTTTATATGGAAATAATATGTTTCTTTTAATGTAATTTCTTTAGCTGGAATCTGCAGCCCATTTATTTGTTCAACAAGTACTTCATCATATCCTAGTCATTATTCTGAAAAGATATGGACAGAAGGTATGCATTTAATAGCACCGAAGTTTATTTTTTAAACTAAACTTTTGTAAAATGCATTTAATGTATGTTTATTTTTAATTTTTTGTTTACATACATTATGGCTTTGAAGTTATGTCTTATTTATGAAGAAAATTTCTTGGAGCTAAGTCATATTGAAAAGATAGAAGTCTTGATAATTTTTAAACTCTTTAGTGCTGCATTTGTCCCTGTCATATAAGTCAGGGCTGGCAAACCTTTTTTGGAAAGAGGCAGATTGTAAACATTTTAGGCTCAGCAGGCTAGGTAACAAACTTCATGGTATTCATGTGTAATTCTACTCACAAAGCAGCAAAGGAAATGGGAATAAAATATTTCCATTTATTAAGAAGCAAAGTATAGATCTAGTTAAATTTTATACTAATGCAGTGAATGTAATTGTTTTCGCTAAGATAATATTTCATCATACTGGAATTTGGAGTAAATGCTTTTATTATTATTCTTTGCAAATAGTGATATGTTAATTATGATATATACTGTGAATTTATGTACTTCTGAAAATGCTTTTTCACATTGGTAAGTACTTTCAAGTGCAGATATAAATCCCTGCACATAGGATTTTAGTGTACCATATTAATCTTCTGAAAGATACTTACAGGTTTGGGTTAGATCGATTACTTTAAGCATTGCTTTTAAGCTTTCATCATTTTGCTATTCACTTTCTTCCAGTTGAAGGTTTAATTGAAGCTCCTCAATTGTACAGTCAAATAGATTTTGAAATATGGAAATGTCTTTTCCACTTGCACTAGGATCTGAAAACTGCTGTTGTGAATGTAGTTTAAGGTCAGGAAATATATCCACAAGAATTTGGGAAGGCAGGGTTCATACGATCCGTAAAAGCCATTAATTTTTTTGGAATCGATTTTTGGTCCTTAAAAGTCCTTAATTTTGGCCAAAATGAGTAGAAGGTCCTTAAATTCAATCATCTGAAATTTCTGTCTGTTTTTACGACTGCCATTTTGAATGTGAATTAGCATTTTAGAGGAATATTTTTGGCGATTCACTAGCATATATGGTTATCTTTTGAATGGGATCATGGGTATTAATTTGTTTCTATTTCTGATATAAATGATTGGATACTCGAGTTTCTAAGCAAGAAGTGAAACATAAGTATTTCGAAATTCATTGTTTGTAATAAAGAGCTCTTAAACAATTTTCGCTTTTGGGGATGTAAATTCTTTTATTAAACGGTTCTAAATTTGGCGACTTATCAACATTTTGGCGATTTTAAGATCAGTTTCTATAGAAAATTTTTAATTACGATATCTGAGAATTTTTCGACGATTTTTTGAAATCATAACTTTTATGTGTAATATATTGGAATTATATTTAAAAAATAACATTAAAATAAAACATTTTTATTTTTCGCTGTCATATTATAAAGTTTCATTTTGGCAACTTATTATACAATATTTTGTATCTGAAAAATAAACAAGGTATAATGCTATAAAGCATAATTTATGAAACATCTCTTAGCAAAAACAAAATTAACTATGTAATTAATTAAAAATACCTTGTTTTTAATTTTTTCATAGTAAGCAAATAGTAAATTAGTAATTCATAGTAAATTAATTTTGAACCTTTCCCCTCCTTTTTTTTTCCAAAATATTTCTGGCTTTGTGCTGTTACAGAATTGGTTGGATAATTTTTCTGTAGTATTTTTGACATTGCAGCTTGGAAAATTTAGAAAGATTTGGAGGCAAGATTTATAGATCCACGATTCTAGAAGATTCGACAAAATGAAAAATGTCTCCATGGTATCAACATGTAATGGATGTATTTTACAGAAAGTTTCCAATGAATTTCTTACTTTTTGGAGAACGTCTGGAAGAACAATGAAGACATAATATTTGAATGTTTTACTCCTGATACTAGAATTTTTTTCTTAACATGTTTATCTTCCCTTTATTTTCTCTACTTTTCACTAGACACAAGCATGGAAAATATCAAAAATGCTTCTAATCTTATCACTTGGGCAGGCATTATAGAAAGGGTTTTTTTTTTTTTTTATTAATAAAGAAATCGAAAACTTACAATTTAAACGATCCATCTCATATGTCTTAATGCATAATACACAGAGCTGGCACTAAGCATTTTCCCATCTGATGTGGATCCTAAATTTAACTGCATAGTGCCTTTCTAAATTCTGCTTCCAATGCCTGTCTAAATTCTAAAAGTTTTGCCATTTCTAGATTTTGTTGTTTGGTGTGTCACTAAATTCTAAAAATTCTGCCACACCAGCTCTGTAACTGGCCTTTACAATATATATTTCATATTTCTTCTAAAATCCATATTACTAAAGAAATTAAATTAGTCACTTTTTCTATACATTCTAAATGCATTTAGTGTTTTTTAGAAAAACAGAATCAGAAATCCTTAATTAAATCCAAAAATTCTAAAATAAAAAGGAAACGTGCTGAAGAAAGAAACTGAATACATAAAGAAAATTATTCTTCAAAGATATGTGCAGTTATTATTATGTAAATTACACAATTGTTTATGATTTCAGCCTTTACTATAATTTTCCATTTCTGTTTCCTATGATAGAATTACTGAGCCAGATTAAATTAAAATTAAGTTGTATAATCTTTGACCACTAGACCACATTTTTAGTTTGAATTTGACTGTTCTTATTTAATTACATCACCGTGAGATGTAATTGAAGCATCAGAACATGCCTTTATGTTTGTTCTAAGTTCTTTTTAAATAAAAGGGTTATTTAAACCTTTGTCTGATATTGTAGTTACCTTCAGACATAGTGATAATTTGTTTCATGTCTATCGGGGGTTTTGGACTATTTAACTTTTACCAGATCAAATAAACTCTCATAGGTACATTGTGGGGAGGTTGACAAGTTAGGAGATAAAGCACGCAGAAACTAGCGAGAGCATTGCTTTGCATATTGAGACAAGTCTGTAATTGTTAGAAAAGATTCTTAAATAAAGAAGGAAATCGATATGAACTAGACAAAATGTCTGGGAAGGCTTCAAATTAAAATGATGGATAAATATTTTGTTGGGTGTTGTTGTTACAAAACATAAATGTTTTGTAGCTTTCAATGCGTAATTATTCTAATATCCTTTAAGAATCAGTGTCGTAAATTACATGCATTTTAAACTGTGAATTTTTATTAGATTTTGATTTTAATAGGCCTTTTTTTAACAAACACTGTTAAAAAGATTTAATAGTGGCCATGTAAATCCATAATGACTAAGGTTAACTATTTACCTAATTTAATTATTTATAACTAACTGCTTACATCTCTACATATTAAAGAGAGTTATTGCCTTTCATTAATACTCACTGTAATCACAAAATAAAACACAAAAATGTAGAAATTCAAGTATAACTTATTCTTTGCATCTAGTGAGTCTTAAAATAATGCAAAACAACTTGTCACCCCTGGTGCTTTAATGGCTTATTGGAAGCTGGAAGTATATTAACTGGGTTACAACGCCTGGAACTCTACACAAAGCTATGACACTAACAGCATCAAACAGAGCCTGACTAACTTTCAACACTTGCCAACCGTGCTTACATCAGGCCTTTCAGGTTTGTTCTAATCAGCATCTCTCTCTCTAGACAAGCAGCAGCGGTGATAACGTTAAATCTTCTGTTATGAATTATGCTGATTATGATCTTGCTTCTCATTTTAACCTATGCCATTTGACATAAAATCTACCTGCTATTTACTAAACCTCTAGACCAGCGGTTCTCAACCTTTTGGACTAACGTGTACCATCTAAACAAAAATTGAAAACCTTTAGTACCACTACTTCAAAGTACTGTACCACTTACTGTTTTGAAATAAATAGCTCAAAATACTTTGCTTGTTTGTGTACCACCTATTTTTTTCTTGCATACCACCGGTTGAGAACCTCTCCTCTAGACTGACCAGTATGTGACAAAATGAGGCATAAAAAATCAACATAAAACGATTAGTAAAATGTAAATGTCACATATCTTCTTTCAAATATGTCAAACCCATTATAAATGTAAAATATTTAATGCTACTTGGTAAACTGCATGGAGTTTTATTTTATTCCCAAACTTATTAATAATTATGTTGATTAATTCATGTTTAGTAATAATGCATACTACTTAGGGATCTATTTTATTTTTAGGATGATATTACAAAAGTGAAATTCAGGCATAGAATAATATTTTTAATTAAATTTATTCAGTTCCCATTTGCTCATAAGTCCTTAATTTTTTTCATTAATGGTCCTTAAAAGTACTTAATTTCCATGTGCAGAAATGTGTACGAACCCTGGAAGGAAAGTGGATTTTGCTAATACAGTACAAAGTCCGAAATCCGGACTCATTGAGACTTCGACGATTCCAGATTTGGGATTTTTCCAGATATTAGTTAATCAGTTTAAATCTATTAAAATGTCATGTAGAAATTATAAAATTAAAAACATGAAATCGTGATTTATGAAATAATGAAGTATTTGTTATCTAAAGGGTATCAGAATGTACAGAAAAAGCTTAATATTTATTTGTTTACCTTATTAAACATTTCTTTCAATGTAAATTGTTTAAGTTGCTTCGTTTTTTATGATAATACTTTCTCATTAATTCTGTAGACAGGCATGATCTCTTGTTTAGTTACATTGTTGAAGTCCTGTAACTGCTGTTTTAAAAATTCCGAGTAAATTGTCAATCGAAATTTTCTCGTTTTAAGTAACTTCTCTGTCACTTTCTTCACTATCGGCAGCGGTGGATCTAGAACCATCTAGGTTTCGCCATTCATTTATGATTTATGATTCAGAAGCATTGTCATCACAATGAAAAAATTCTTGTATATCATCTTCATTTATAGCTTCACATTTTTAATTGAAAAACTTCACCTTTGTTTTGCGATATCTGAAAACCTTTAAAATTCGCGGCTATCATCATCAAATTTAGCTGTCCTTCCCTATACATATTTGGCTATGCATCATGAGCTTGGCGACTAACAAGTTGTTGCCTTAAATTTTGTCTTGCTATCATGCACTGAAACAATTAACACTTTGCGGGTCGCTGTCACGCTGGCGTGACTTTTGCTCGGCAACGGTTATTGGCCTCTGTCACGCTGCCGTGACTTTTGCTCGGCAACAGTTACCGGCTGCTGTCACGTACGCATGACTTATTTTCGCCAACGCCGATGCTTCACATTGATGTTTGTATAGATAGACATACTATAGCAAAACATTTGACGATCAGGAAACATTGGTTTCAACTGTTTTCCTCTCCCAATTCACCAGACTGTGTATTATTGAAATTTTTTTTTTCGTGTACGCTTGTTTTGTTAGTTTGAGACTGTCTTTCGCTGCCTTCAAATATCGGAAACTTACGTTAGATTTAAAGATATCCTTCAAAATGCTCTTCGATGAGGAAATATATGCTGATCTGTTATCAGAAGCGGATAATTGCTCTGATAGTGAAAGTGATTCGGACAGTGGGAGCGGTATAATTGTGAGACGATTCAAAAATAAGGGAAGACCAATAATTAGTGAATCTGAAAGTGATGAAGAGAATTTGTGGCAAATGATTGGTCAGAAGTTGATTTTAGACCTAACTTTCATGCTTGGCTGGAATGGTTTGGGTTACAGGTATCATACACACCAGATATATTATCAACTGTGGAATTGTTCATTGGGGACGATTTATTTAATTTGTTTGCCACACAAACAAACTTATAATCAGCAGAATAATGATAACAACAAAGAATCAAAAAGAATAAAACTTGGATTGATACAAATGTTGTAGAAATGAAAAAACTTTTGGGGTTTGTTATTCTAATGGGAATAGTAAGAAAACCAGAACAAGACGATTATTGTTCTACTCGCCTTGGATTACATACACCTATTTTTGGGAATACTATGCCAAGGAACTGATTTTGGCAGTTATGGAAGTATTGGCACTTCAGTAATAATGAGCATTGCCAAGAAAGGCTTGATAAAATAAAACCTGTTTACTCGTACCTGGTAAAAAAGTTTCATAAAATTTATAAACCCGAGAAAGAATTATCGCTGGATGAAGGTATCATTCCATGGAGGGGCAGGCTATCTTTTCGTACATATAATCCTGCGAAAATTATAAAATATGGAATTTTAGTCCGTATGGTGTGTGAAGCGACATCTGGTTATATATGCAATTTAGAAATATATTGCGTGCAAGGAAAATCGCTAATTGCAACAATATTGTCCGTGCTATCGCCATATTTAAATTTATGGCACGATGTATATGTGTAAATGTTGCAGAGGAGTTACTAAAGCATAAAACAAACATCTGTGGCACAATTAGAGTAAACAGAGGAGTGCCAAATTGTTTAAAATCTGCTACATTGAAAAAGAATTCAATGGAATTTCGTAGAAAAGGGAAAATTATAGTACAAAAATAGAATTTGGCCAAAAAATTGATAATGATGATTTCTACGATAACTTCAGCAGATATGGTCGAATGTGTGAGTCAAAGAACCAAAAAGAAGTGCATTAAACCAATTTGCATACAAGAGTATAATAAATTTATGAAAGATGTTGATCATGCCGATCAGTACCTATCATGTTATTCCATACTTAGCAAAACAAAAAAATGGACCAAAAAAAAAAAAAAAAACTTTTATATCTCATAAAATGTGCATTACTCAATGCGTTCCAGATATGCATAAAAAATTCTGAAAAGCCTATTAGATTCAAACAATTTTTACTAAACCTTGCACTAGCATGGATTAATGGGAATGAAGAGGAGCAACAATCAAGATCGGCTGCTCAATGTGATGAAAGATCGCCGAGGTTTGATCCACCAGGCAGACTTACTACGGACATGAGAAAGCATAGAATAACACGTATTAGTGGTAATGGGAGAATTCAAAACCCGCGAAGGGCCTGTAAAGTTTGCACTGCTGAAAAGAAAAGAAGTTCCACTACATACATGTGTTCTTCCTGCAACATTTCTCTGCATGTTGGAAAATGTTTTCAGAATTATGATACTAAAAAGAATTATGGGTTCTAGGAGTTAAATTTTTTAAATAAAACGTTTTAGTACTAATTAAAAAATTATAATTGGAATAAAATGGAATAAAAATAGTGTAACAGTTATTTTAGTACTTTCTTTAATAATAATTATATACCAACTACTTATGTTTCGAAAAATTGCGTAAATATCACCGTTGGCGAGCAGTAGAACCTACGTGAACCGGTGGCAGCATAACGGCGCTTCGATAAATGAGTGGCCCACAAAGTTTTAAGTCTGAATTGTATTAGTTTATTTATTTCTTGCACATGTTTAAGGCTTATCAGAGTTCTGAATAAATAAATTCCCACATATACTTAAGACTTATTGAGAGCCGGCGCTAGATAACATACCGCCTGATGCAGTGTCTGTGGGTCCTAAATTTATCGACTCCGTGCGGCCATATGAGCCCTGGCGCTAGTTCTGTCTTTATCTGAATAACAAATCAGTTATTCTTAATTCAAATAGCCCTAAATGTACTTGTTGGGTCTATGAGTATTATCAATAAAATCTATTTTTAGCACGTAGAAAGAAATTTTTGGTAAATTATTCCTCGTCAACAATTTTTACCACATTTAACTTAAATCTGTAATCATCGCAAGCATAATGTCAATATAAAAGGTTACTATACTCCTTTATTATTCAATTACTAACATAAGAAAAAATGTTTAGGCATCGAAAACATGACTTTTTCATGTTTTGATAAACATGCAGTGCTGAAAGGAAAGTATAATAAATAATGATTTGCCAGGTTGGCGTGAAATCAACGATGTATCTCTGTGGAATGTTTCGGTTTGAGGTGTGTGCCAAGTAGATATGCAGCAACAGAGCCAAATTACTGATCATACAAATTTATGCTAAAATGATTGTTTCTTCAGTTATGAGGTACTTTATTTAGTGAAGTGAAATTAAGAATCTTGACTCTCCAGATGTTTTATTATGCTCAGAGGGGGGGGGGATCAAATTCGCATAGTTTGAGGTCCGGATTTTAGATCATTCCTTATAATGGACGTCTGGACTTTGTACTATATTTGAAATATTTTACAACATTTGAAAATTGTCAAACTTGTTTAATGTGATTTATGCTTCAAACAATGTAAATTTTCAGCAATATGTCATGACAATTCAGTATGTCGAACATATGAGCACTGTTTTCTTGTAATTTAAAATTTATTTTGTCAAGATCTCGTAATGTCCTTAGCAAATGCTAATTTTCATTGTCATTTATTGTTTGATAAGAGTGGTTGTTGCCAGTTTTTCCTTCATTTAGAGAAATTTGTTTTACTGTTGAGTTTAAAAATTTCTCAATAAAACTTTTTTATTACTGAGCCACAGAATTGCCCACTGTGATAAAAATCCCAAAACTGATGATGATTAAGTCCATGAGAGTGAATAGAATTAATTGCAGACTCATGTTTCAATAACACATGAATTGAGGTTTTTTCCATTAAGAGCATGCTGGTGAATACGGGAAATTGCCAGAGGTTAGCTTATGAAAAAGGCTAACCTCTGGCAAACTTCGTATTGATCACTTGAATATATGGCAGAAAGTAAGCAAGTTCAGTAAAGTGTTGACTCATCAACAGCCAATGAAAATAACTTGACATTTTTTGCCTTGTCTTAAATTTACTCTTGATGTGGCTTCTGATGCTTCAGGTAAAATAGCCCTGAAATAATAAAATTCCACCTAGCCGGTTTTAAATGTTATGGTGTTTAGCTATAAACTAAATATGAAATGGAGCTAGAGCTGGCTCACATCATTATTCAACGTTTAGAATGCAACTGCTAGAATATTCTAAGTAAACAATATTTTTGGTACCATTCAACTAAAAGCAATACAATAAAATGCATTTGAATTTTGCAACATTAAATACAGCTTAAATTTCTAAACTACAAATGAAGTTCACAAAGATATTAATTACCCATAAAGTTCTAAATTATCCATAAAGTTTAAGTTCTGTTTTTGTGGAGAAACACTTCTCCACTAGGATGAGTTTTTGTCAGTTTTTTTATACCTGTTTTTTTATGGGTGTAGATAACAGACTTTTGATAATTTTTTCTGTTTGTTCTGTTTGGTTGTTTTCTACATTTCTAATGAAAGTTAGTGCATTAGTGTCTAGTTCAAAGGAAAAGAGGGGCTGAGCTGGCCTAAGTACAACCCTAAGTGATGTTTTTAGCTTCAGAAAGTGTGTTATATTATTTTTACCTAGGAGCAGTTCATGTACTCGTGCCAACATCGCTATTTGTTTCTTGTTATTTCTAATAAGAACAATGAAATTTAATTATTCTGTCTTAGCTTTTATAGTGTTTTGAAGAAAGCCTAGATATTCCTAGAAGTGCTTTTTATAGCTAGGCATAATCTTTATGTATAAGATATTTTGTATACTCTGTCTTGCTCTCTGAAGTACCCCAAGTGAAAATATGAACTGTTTCACAGGGCTTTCACCTGGGTTTAAGCAGATGTGGTATTCTGGCCTTCTTACTTTCCACTTTTCTTCAGGATATCTAAATTCCTAAAACTATAGATCTGAATGTTGAAATTTATTCACTGTCATTCATAGTTACACATATTTCCAAGTTACCTTCAATAATTGAATGGAATCTGAAGTTTCTTTTAGCATATGAACTAATGATCTGGTTTTGTGCATGCAGTTCATCTTTTCTCTTGGACTGTGTTTCATTTCAGAATCATGTTACATCATCTTGCTATCTGATATTACCTTTCTACATCAGTTTTCTACATGTGCAACTTGTGCTGCCTTCTAATCTGTACTTTTGTTGTGCAGTTTTTTAACAATATGTGGTGCTATTCCTTTTTTGTTTTGGTGCAGAACATTTTGCTGCACATTTATATTGTTAAATCTGAAATCTGAATTTTTAAAATTATTTTTAACTTTCAGGAGATACCATCATAAAAAATGCATTCATTGCTGAAGAAGATGATATTGCACCATTAGGAAGAAATTTTCTTTTTCAAACTCAAGAACAAGAAACCGAAGAACAAGATGTGGAGTCATTATCACATTCCCTATTGGAATCATCCATGGATCATTATTCTTTTTCACTTGATGATTGTGAAGGCTTGACAGATCTTTTTGATTGTAACTTCCCATGCCTGTAACAAGTTATTCACATTCTACTCATAAACTTCAGAAAATTTGGTAATGAAAGATAAGTATGGAGTGGTATTAAAGGATGATGTTGTTTTGCTTTGAATCAGCAGTTTTATCAATTCTTGTCATAAAAAATAAGTATTAATACATGTAGATTTACTGACTTTAAAAAATGTGTTATCCAGCAATTGATAATCCTGACAATACTACTAATGCTAGTGCAGGAAAGTAGCATACCTTTGTACAATAAAAGAATATAATAATAAAAAAAAAAGGGTTGAGAGATATTTCTGTAGTTTTCAGTATCAAACAACTAATATGTTAAATCTGGGAAGTTATCCTCAAGCTGTGAAAATTGATTTCTTTAATTTTATCTAAAAGAAATAAAGTAAATCTGAAATGAAATTTTTATAGGGACCAGGTAAATGTTAGTGCAAATAACAAATATCACTTCAATATGCTACATGTATAAATTAATGTACTTTATTTGTTTACTATTTTAGAATTTGCATATCATATCATTTGCAGTCATGTATGAAGAAAGTTAAATCTCATCATATGCACATTGCTGTATGCTGTAGCCTTGTCCAGACTGCGAAGATTTTGTACTTGAAATATCAGTATGAAGCAAATAGATTATGGAATATAATCAGAGGTACTTATAAGCCAGTAAAAAAATAATCAGTGCCAGCAGTTTTCCTTCACTCATTGAAAACTTCGGTTGTAATTAATAATTGAGCTTCAAATACAGTATACATAACATTTCAAACGTTATCTGTTTCTATCAAACTAAAATGCTGTAAATTTTTCATTGAAATATTGCTTATAACTGCAGAAGTTATAAGTGCTGCGCTATGTCATTAAGTGCATAACTTTTGTAGACTTGGCAATGCAAGTTTTAAAGTTAAGAAAATAGTTTTGCATAATACCAAAGTTTATATTTTAAAATTCCAGCTGGTTAAAATAAGTTACATATATGGATATATTTCTATATATTCAAATTTACATATAGATATATTTTACTGCATATTCATAGAGAATAGTAATTTTAATATAATTATTACTTTAAAAAAATTTTGTAATTTGTAATGAAAATTCTTCTCTGTTGGATATTCCACTGAGTAGTGCATTTTGGCTCCATTTAAAAATATTAAGGAATTTAATCAAAATTCTTCTCTCTTGGATATTCCACTTAGCAGTGCATTTTGGCTCCATTTAAAAAATATTAGGAATTTATGCTTCACAAAATCCTTTTAATGAGGTAATGTCACTTGACATTCATAAAATTTTGCTGTGTTTCTCTCACTTTGCTTCACATTATGAGAAAAATTTGGATTATTGTATAATTTTGTGTGTGTAAACTTATGGCAGCATGAAATTCTGAGTCAAATAATTCTTTGATATTTTGTTTCACAGTGGCACCTTTTAAGTCATTAATAAGATTTGATATTAATGTTTGTACGAAACGAAACCTGCAAAAAATGTCAGTTTTGAAAACTCCAGCCAAGATAGCAGAATTTAAAATACTGTTTTATGTAAAGAGACTTGAGGGTGTTAAAAAATTGCCAAATGTATAAATGTACAATGTGAAATGCCATCATCTTCACAGTCCGTAAATGTTTATTTTCTGTGTGATTTGTTTGAAAATTTCCTTGCTGACTTAAATCTTCTCTTATATATAGATACAACCACATAAGCATAACTTTCGTAATTGTGAATGGTGAAAATTTTTATCATGAATTGTTTTATAGTCCCCCCCCCCGCTTTGATTCTCCTCTTTTTTTTTTTTTTCCTTCTTTTTTGGATGTAGGCACAACTTTGTAGAGATTACAGACTAATAATTTATCTTTAAATTATTCATAATGTAACTAGACACCTTGACTTCCTCAGGAATTTTATATATCAAAATATCAGAAAGGCTTATTGGTACTCTTTGTATTCTTATGGTTCTACTCGAATAGCTTTAAATTATATTTATAATATTTGTATACTAGATTACGTTCAAGCAAAAGTAAATATATATATGCTTGCAAATACATGGTATACATACATATACTGCTGTGTCTGCTTTTTATGCATATTTTTACTTTAAACTTCTGTAAAATGGGTGACTGTTACTTTGAGTTTTGCATGGCTTTCTTATTATAATTAAGAGGTTTCTTTCTTTCATTTAATGATCATATTTATGTTGAGTGATTGTTCTTTGCGTTAACCTTATGAAAAGGGATGGTGAAAGCAAATCTCAGATAATTTAGCTTTGGAAAGTTTCTTTGTTTGAAGTTTTGTAAATTCAGCAATACCATTAAGAGGGAAAACTTGATAAGCATATTAAGATGGAAAACATATTAGTGTAATATGATTGTTCCACTCACTGCAATTTTATTTGAGCTCATTGTTGTAAAATTTTTAGCTTATGTTATTATATTGTTTATAAAATATAGAATAGAAATGAAAATCTTTCTTGTAGCATTGCAGTAGTTTATGATCTGTAACTCTAAGTATCAGCTAAATAAATGAACTCTTATTAAATATATGTAAGGAAGTATTCAAGAAAAAATTTTAATTGGTGTTTTAAAAAATCCAGAGGGAAAGCTGCTTAATTTAAAATAATATTGTGTGCATAAATTTAATAACTCATAGCTGTTTTTAATTTAAAATCATAAGTGGGACTTAAAAAGTTATTACACTTCAGTTTCTTTTACATAAAATTTCTCCTAATGTGCTTCATGAAAATGATATTTTAATATAATTGTACTGTTATCTCAGTCTTCTCGTCATTTTTTGGTTAGATTTAAAAATCCCATATAGTTAAAAAATGTCTTTTGATTGTGTATGTATTACATAGGAAAGAGAATAGGCTGGTATCATATGTGTTTCTCTTTACTGATGTATGTTAAAAAAAAATTGTTTTTATGTGTCTGTTTATATCACTTGATATCATCATCTAGAGAGTAATTATACTTTAATAAAGATTTATGTGACCAACCTTTTGAATCCTGAGGAAGATTTTCTGTGCTTAGAAAAGTTCTACACTTTCTAACTTTATTTCTCGAATAATGATGCTGGATAAAAATACTTATGTGAATTTGGAATTTGGTGATAACTTTAATATAGTCTATTTAAGTAAATCTTTAAATGAAGTATCGTTATTTGTGAGAATACTTTGAAGTAAAGTGCCATATATATATATAAAACTGTGAACATGTATTTTCCCATGTCTTCTATCGTTAGTAATGTGTAAGTCATTATTTTCCTAAATTTAATATTTCTCTTTCACTCCTTTGTCTAAAACTTCAACTAATGTGAATTTTCTTGATCTTCAATAAATATGCTTGCATCTATTCAGTTTTTTTTTTCCCCCCTCTCCCAGAAGCTGCTGGTATGAAGCATTTATTGGAGTCCAATTACTGCATACAGTTCTTGAAGTAAATTTTTCTTTTTAGTTAAAAAAACTTCAATTAGAGCTTCAGGCTGTTTAATTATTTCAAGGCAATAATATTTTTTATTTATATTGAATATATTTGTTATCATGTTTACTGTGTAAAAGTGCTTTCCACAATCTGAAAGCAGAGCATTCTCATGAAACCTTTTATAAACCAAAGTGGTTAGCATCAAGAAAGCTTTTACTTTTAAGTAATAATGCACAATTTTATGAGCATTTCCAGACTGAGAAAATATCTTAATAAACTAAACCAAATTATACATTAAATGAAAAATAATTTTAATACTTAGTAAAAACAGCAATAGTTAATAAATATACAGCCTATATAAAATAGTACTATATATTAATCAAAATCAGGGAGACAGCAAATGCATTAACTGGAATGTTCAGTTTTGGGTTGGAATCTTTTGTGTTGACTGTACAAACTTGTATGCATTTTTATGATCTTGTATGCTAGGCTGAATCATTGAAAGTTTTTTGGAAAATAGGATACTGGCATATAGAAGAAAGTGAAGAGGATCTTCTGTTTATTCGTCATTGCCATGAAACTGGTGGGTCATTAATATCGATATCTGCCCATGTCTTCCTCTAGTTTTCCAGGTTAGTTATGTTAAGGGCTAGTGTGGAAGGCTTCAAATACAGCATTTTAACCTCAGCTATTTGTCTGTGTAACAATTCTTTGTTGGAAGTTACAGTATCTTGCATTTCTTCAGTAATGCTCTGTGTCTTATGAAACTTAAATATTGAAAGCTAAGTTCACTTAATGCCTTTCTCCATAGAATCTAATATTTTCTGTACTTTTTTTTGTACAGAAAGCAAGAAAGTCACTAATGTAACTTTTTGCAACAGTGAGATGCTTTCATTCAATTATTTCTTCTTTGTTCAGTGAAGTAGTTTAAAAATATCTTCAGCTTTCAAATGTGCCTTCTAAATTGTGCAGAATGTATTCCACTTCCAGTGTACATTTGTAACAATTTATATTATGTGCCTTCTTGATAGTTTTTGTATTTTTATATTGTAATTCTCATTCCCATCCTCACACACACGTGTATGAGACAGAGTATAATAGTCAGGTTACATCACAAAGTGTAAAAGTATATTAAGCATATTATATTTATATTATATCATTTATCTTTAAATAAATATCTAAAATAAATTTACTGTTCCTTTTCTAGTGTGATGTACTTAGATATTTTAAAAACATTAATCAAAATAATTGTTAAATTTAAAAAAAAAAAAAAAAAAAAATTGTAGTTGAATGAAAAAAAAAATGTGCCTGTCTGAATAACCATCAGTATCATGTTGTTATGTTTTTCAAAATAAACCTGTTTGTTTTACATTGAAATTTATGTTGATTTTGTACATGCATACATATATACCAGTATATATATTGGATATATAAATCATACCACTTTTTCTAATAGATGTCATATATGGAACTGCTTGAATTCAACTGAATCTATAGACACTTGTGGTTGAAAGACTTAATAGCAACCTATTAATAATTATTATGTTACAGCTGTTTAAAATGCTATGAATAATTATTTTTGCTTCATTGAAAATGTCGAGTGTTGTTTTCCCCCGCCCCCCTGGAAGAAACAGTAATTGTATGAAGGTTTTATTGCTAATAAAACTTCAAAAGAAACATACTATTTGCTGCTGGGAATTTACAATGAACATACCACATGGAATACAACTTGCATGAGCATGTTCAACAATTTAAAAATAATGATTTTGATACATATGAAACAGTGTATGGAAAACCACCAGAAAGTTTGGGCTGTTGCAACTGAGTTAGATAATGCTGATTATTACTGAATTTCAATGAAGCATTATTTTCCAATGTGAGAACACTCGCCCAAATTTTGTAAGACTAGGCTAGGGAAACCTAGAAGTATTTTGCCAGGATGTGTTGCCTTACCTGCCATATTCCCCAGATGTACCTCCTTCAGATTACCACTAGTTCCGATCTGTGCAGAGTGGCTTTTCAAGACAGGAGCTTGGTTAGATGAGGATATTAAAGTTTGGCTTTGTTGATTACTGGATTGTTTCAGAATAACCCTGTTTTATCCTTCCTGGAGTATGTTTGTTGTCTGAGAAATGGGTGAATGCTGTAGTCTCTAACAGATGGAATATACTTTGAAAAATATCCTGTATGTACTAAAAAAAAATATATGTCCTATATGTACTAAGTCATATTTATAGGCTTAATGCATATGGAGAGAGATATCATAAGGAAATAAATATTTAACAGCTGCTTACCAATAATGAAACATATTACATTTGAATGTAAAATAAATATATATATATATATATATATATATATTCCATTAATATATATATGTGTGTGTGTGTGTGTGTGTGTGCATGTGTGTGAGATAATCATGCATAAGTCTCATGCATGTCATACTCTAAGTTGACATAGAAAATGAAGCTGAAAGCTTAATGCTTTTTTCTTCCAATAAATATGCAATTAAAGACCTGCAGATGATTTGTCAGACATAATTTATTAACTGAAGGTATATGGTTGAGAAAGGTTCGCACATTATTTGATAATCCCAAGTAAATGTTTCACATTTTTACAGTTTTTGAACTATTAGAGAGACAGAATTGCAACAGCAATTTTGAATTTGGGGTTCCTAAATGGACTTCATGAACAGTTTTCAAAATCAGTTAAATTTTAACTTTATTGTGGTTCCCTTATGGCAATCACTTCATTTTAATTTATCTTTTAAAATTTTAAGTTCTTGGCTGGATTATTATTAACTGGATCTGGGAACAATACTTTTCATAAACACATATCCTGTGCAATTTTACTTACCAGTCCTTTGTAACATATTGGCAGCGCTTCTCTTACTTAATGTATCTCAATTCAGATAAAATATTTAAGTACAGTTCACATGTAAATGTACTTAAAAACCCACAATTAACATTCTAAACAATATAACATTTCATAGGCATTCTCTCCAGAATTTTAGCAAAATTAAATCTAAAATACAAATTACTTGCTTTAACTTTTACAATAATTCATTTCGAAACATTATATGCTTTGCTTTACTCTTAAAGCCAGAAGAATTTTTTATTCTGATCAACAGCATCCTTTATTCTGTCGTCCAATTTAACGTTCAGTTTTTACACCAGTTTTGAAATTCTTCGCACTGTCCAGGTATCTTATCTTGATTCTACTGCATATGGCTATTAATTCCATGTTTCTGATTAGCTGACCTCTTGAGTATTTGCTGGCTTGAAAACATATAGGCATGTCTTAGAATATTGTAAAGTATTAATTCTTCATCTTTGAATACTCTTTGCTCCTTCTCATCTTTGAATACTCTTTGCTCCTTTGAGCTGAAATTCTCCCTTTCTCTTCAATACTTGGTTGGGCCTTGCATTTTTCATCAGGAAACTTTCCTCCACACTCACTCATTTTCCTGCATAACAGATTGGCGTAAATGTTGAACTTTCAGGCATTCTTCCCGGCTTGCTTCTTTAAACTCTTTTTGAATTTGCTGTTCCTCCCCATCACTGGTGTTTGTGACCTATTCTTACTAATGTGCCATACACATTCTTTTGTTTATTCTATCTTTTGCCTCATGTATTGGCTTCCTTTTCCTTACCTTTCTTCCAGGTATGTTATAAAGTATCTCCCTCCTATCTGCATGCCTTCGTGGTGTAAAGATAACACATTTGGCACGTATCCGAGAGGTCCAGGGTTTGAGTTCTGGCAACGGCAATGCAGACTCTACAGTTTCCTGACACAAAAAAATTCTAACTGCTGCAGAATTCTAATTCTAAAAAAATTCTAACTGCCACAATTGTACGGCATGCTTGGCAAAATAAACAGTACTTCTCACTGACCTAACTGCTGCAGACACGTCAGCTTTTCCTTGTCGTAAAATTTGTGTAACTGATCTGTATTTGTGGAGCATGTCTGCCCCTTAGCATCCTGTATGGTTACCATATTTTTTTAAATATTTGCAATAATTAAAAGGTCCTATAATACTTTCATTAAATTAATTTATTTCTGCTTTCTGTCAAGATGACAATGTGTGATTTATCTTTATAACTTTATCACCAATTCTAATTTCCACTTATCTCTGTTTCCTATTGTAATACAGTCCACCAGCAGCCGAGCAGTAAAGTTGCTGAATACTGGTAGACCGGTCCAGGGTTCGAATCCCATCAAATTATGTTTTTTATTGATTTTCTGCATGTTTATTTAATATGTATATGAGCCATTTTCCCTTAGAAAGTCTCCCTTCCCTTAGGCAGATAGCTTTCGAGTGTTTTATCGTAATTAAATAAACCAAATCATCATACAATTCAACTTTTGTTTTAACCTAGTTTTATCTAACATTTTAACTGCTGCTTTATCAATTAACTTTTGGATCCCTTTTTCTTAGAACTGTGGCTCTCTCTTGTACAAAAAATAGTTTGTCTAAGTGTGTAATGACTTTTCTTCCCAAAAATAACTCTGTGTTTATCTGTTGTCTCATGTTCCACTGTTCTTAGAGCGTGTGCAACCTCTTCAGCGTGTAAATTCCAACTTTGATGATGTCGCTTTACCTAACAATGTTTATAATCTGTACAATGTTCTTATTAATGTGCTCAGTGATATTTGACAGAGTCCTGTAGGGAGTGATTGTTAAATGCTTAATATCTAGTTCCTTGCTCGTTTTCTCAAAAACCCTACGTATAAACTGTGGTCCATTGTCAAGTATTACAGTACAAAGTCTGAAATCCGGATTCGTCGGGACTTCGACGATTCCGGATATTAGATAATCAGTTTAAATCTGGTAAGATGGCATGCAGAAATTATACAATTAAAAGTATGAAATTGTAATTTCTGAAATAAAGAATAATTATGATCTAAAGGATATCAAAATTTACATACAAAAGAAAAAGCTTAATATTAGTTTGCTTATTAAACATTTCTTTCAATGTAAGTTGTTTAAGTTGCTTCCACAAAACGTTCCTTTTTCTTTTGTCATACACAGTTGACTTCAATGCCACACTTATCACATAATTTTGAGACAGATATGCCTTTATCCTTTTTTTGCAGCTATTCCACCTTTCTGGTTAATGGAGATCGAAACGTGTTTCGCTTTGTAGATCCTTTGGCAGCTCCAGAATTGGAAACTCTTTCTGACATAATTGAAAGTTCAAGCTTAGTTTCTATGAAATTGCCGTAATAACAGTCTGCAAAAATAATAAGCTGGATCAAACTAAAAGATTAGGGAGCAGCGCAGTCCACTACATTAACTGAAATGCCTTACTATCAGTAAAGATTATTTTAGCCTAGCTTAATATCGTCCGTTATACATTATTGGTTGTGTATCACAACATTGGCGACGGAAGCCAAGTTGTTTCACTTAATTTTGTCTTGCTCCTATAGTATACTGAATTAACCTCGAATTGTATTAGTTTAGTTATTTACTATACCTACGTTTATTTCTTGCACATGCTTAAAACTAATCTGAGTCCTGAATAAATAAACTGTCACATATTCTTAACGCTTTATCTAGGGCCAGCGGTAAATATCGCCTGGTGCAGTCTCTACAGGTCCTAAATTGTGCTACAAAGTGCCTTCCTAAGTTCTGAATTTGCACCGCACCTAAGCTTTGCATCTCAGTGCTTTCCCTAAATTATAAAAAATTTCTCATCCCTTAATTTTGCCGCTTGGTGCTTCCCCCAAATTCCAAAAATTCGCCTTCCCTAAATTTTGCCGTCTGGTGCCGACATATTCTGCTGCCGCTTCTTGGTTTATGGTGAATAACATATCAGTTATTCTTAATTAAAATAGCACTAAATGTAATCTTTTGGCCTATTGATTTTCATTAACAAAATCTATTTTTAGCATATGAAAAGAAATTTTTGTTGAATTTTTCCTCGTCAACATTTGTTAGAGCATTTAAAAATCTATAATCATTGCCAATTGTAATGTTAGCATAAAAAGTTGCCATACTCTTGTTATTCAAGTACTAATATAAAAAAAGTTTATACATCACTGCATGAGTTACTACTGGTAATGAAAGTAAAATATAATAAATAATGACTCGCCAGGTCGGCGTCAGGAATATAAAATAGGTGAATGTTTCGGTTTGAGATGTATGCCAAACAGATACTCAGCTATGGAGCCAAATTATTAATCTCACAAATTTATGCTTACATCATTATTTTTCCATAACAAGGTATTTTATTTAGTGCCTAAATGAGATTAAGAATCAGAATTTTTATGTGAAAATCTCCACATGTTTTATCCTGGAAGAAAAAATTAAATGCGCATGCGTAAAGCATATTAAAAAAAGTTTGTGGATTCGAGGTCCGGATTTTAGATCATTCCGA